TCCACTTCTGTTGTTATCTACTTGCTTGTTTGGAAGAAAATTATCCTCACTTTTTCAGTTTGAATGGATATATAAGATGTTTTTCTTTCTTGTCCCTGCAAGTATTAGTATAAAGTTTGGAAAGGAGCATTCGAATGATCAGTGTTCAGAGTGCTCTGCTGGTGGCATGAAGTTTAGCCCTCCAAGCTTATCTGAATATCAGTATCTTGGCTCCAGTTTATTTCCAAAAAAAACCTTCCCCACATGACTACAATAATGACAATAAGAATGCTTTTTAGAGGGATGCACTCATTAGGATGACTGAGTATCCTACTTTGCTGCTCTTTAGAAAAATATGTATGTATTCTCTCATTAAGGAATAGAGGACTTCAAAACTTGAGGCTGTTGATTTTTTTTTTTAAATGTGGATCCTGACACTCAGCAGGTCTACAAGGAGATTCAAGGAGAGATCTGAAGAATTTAAAAAGCCTTTTTTTAAAGGTAATGCATTACTAACTACAAAATAGATCATAACGAGTTAAATGATGAAGAAAGTGAATGGAAATAAAGTATGCTAATTTATTTCCGGCAACAGTTCAGTTTCTTTGAAGTGCAAAACTCCTTTAGTTGTAAGTATTTAAACCAGGTAGCTGCCAGGATGCAGCTACCGGGATTTACCTGCCTTAAATTGCAGGTAACAGTTTCGTTTCTTCCTGGAAGGGGAGTGAATGCTCATGTCTACATTTAATAATTATGGTCAGTTCTCAGCTACCATTGGAAGGTATTGAGAGAAGCAGTTCAATGACTAATGCAGAAAGATTGCAAGAATACCATGTCTTATTATAAGAAAATGTAACTAGGTGCAACTATCTATTTTTATAAAGAGAAAGCAACTGGTAAAATCCTGTCAGTTCTATACATTAACTAAATTTAATCATACATAATCAAGTGGGTATTGCAGTATTTTAGTTCTCACAGCACTGTCCCCGTCTGGTAGCTGATACATGCGCTGATGCATCGAGCCTGAAATTCACCGTCAGATTCCTGTGGCTGAATCTGAACATGCAAGGATCATGACTGAAACTGCAGTTTGTGTTGGGACATTCACTGCTGTGAAGGCACTGTGGGAAGTGAGAATACACAAGATAAATGAAGAATTACAGAAAGAAAAGGAATTCAGACAGAGGTCTGCAGGAAGGTAGGTAAATTGTAGATATTTAAGCATGTGAAAAGCTAGATTATGTGTTACATTTCAGAAAACTATAGTTGGTCTTTTCAACTCATCTGGAGTCTAATTCTTTAGTCATTATTCCAGCTGAAGTCCCTCTGGTTAGAATCCAGCAATATGGTCAGGTCAAACCAAGAACTGTGTTCTGTGATAAAAATATTAACATATATACTAAATCCCCTAAAGTCAGATATTAAAATCCTCTCCTGTGTCGATATTCTAACCAGTGGAGATTTAATTTGTTATGCTTTCTTCTCAAAGGAGGCATTAACAGGGTCGCTTGGTCTTCTGTCTTGTCCGGCCAGCAATTTCATGAAATGTGAAGAAATTTAACATTCTGTTTTTTGAACCCTTCTGAATTTGTCAGATGTGTTTGAAATGGAATAACAAATTCCAAAGTTACTAATGGAAAATACAAGCAGAAAGAAAGAGAATTATCCTAATTTTCATAATTATTGTTTAAATGTCCTTTGGAAATCAAGCTAAAAGAATCCTTAGCTGATTGACCTGTTTTGATTGCATTTAAATTTGGTGAAACTGAAGTCATTCTTTTTAGGAGACTGCTTCAAAATTAATGGCTTTGGAACTTAATTTCACATGACTTTGTATTCTGTTGTCCTGCTGCAACACGATGAAAGTGAATGAAATTATGTCTTCCTTCTGACTGTAAATTTGAAGAACTGTAAGATGGAATTCCTGTAAATTACCTGAGCCAAACATTACTTCATGTTCTTGTCTTCCGTCCAATTGATGGTATATTTAGCATCCAGATATAACAAATGTTTGCCATCCAAAAAGGCTACTGTCTCCCTGTTCCAGAAAGTAGAACGGATAGTAATTATTGCCTATATTCATTGTTGCACCACTGACAGCTCTTCTTTCCCTTGTAGGCTACTCCTTGTCTGGGAGGAGAGGGCTGCTTTAGCAAAGCTCAAAGAAAAAGTTATTCATGAAGATGGAAGAGCAATTTTAAGGATAGAGGAAGAAGAATGGAAGGTAGTGTTGATAGGGATGAATGTTGCTTGAGTTGAATGACTGATGCATTAGAAAACTACTATTTACAACTTTACACTCACAGTTGTACTATTTTTAATCTATGAAGTGCTCACCGTGTGCTTTGCTAACAATGAATTGAGACACCCTGTTGTAAAAGCGAGCTGATTTTTCTAGTCCTGAATATTAAGCATTACTCTGCAAAAATAGAGCCCAAAAGGCTTTTCTGCATTAGAAATTATTTACACTGCAAATTACGTGTTTCATTACGTAAATCCTCATTTAACATTAACACACTGGAACTACTGAAATACATCAAGGTGAAACCCTTCTGTGTTTAGGGGCGTGGAAATACTTCTTCCTGTTGTTTACTTTCTCTGAGTGAAAATGAGCCAGTGGATTCCCAGAATACTATTATTCTTGTTTCTAATGCATGGGGGGAAGCAGCTAACTGTAGAATCAGCAACAGAGAGGAGGCTAACAGCCTGTTCAGAGCTACACAGAAATGCAGATGCCAGTTCCTATGAACTGATGAGAATCAGACCATGTTGAGGCCAGAGAGCGACAGCCTCTTCCAGCAATTCTCTGGTGGTCCATAGGCCAGTGTTCCTTGTTCAGAACTTGGAGCATCCAGACATTGTAGTTTTTCTGTCCCTCAGCTCTTCTGCTCTCAGATGCTTACTGTTTCTCTTAACAGAATAGGAAATACAATTTACATCACCATTTAAATGCAGAAAGCTATTGAGAGCACTTTCATCTTCAGTTATATTGGCTTTGTTTTAATAAAAAAAAAAAAAAAAAGAGACAAAAGCAAGCCTGAGGCTTTTCAAGCAATGACAGTAAGGCAGATATCTAAATCCTGCAAGGAAAAAGTGGGGAGGTTAAATCTATGGTCTGAATGACCCGCATGGATGGTGTTCATTTGAGGATGTTACGGGATAGCTTAAGAAGAAGGAAAAATTTCTTTTTTTTTTTTATTTTTTTATTTTTATTTTTTATAAATCACAAGACTGTCTCAAATAAACCTTCTACCTAAGCCTGTACTCTCATTGCATACTAAGCTGAATTTATTCTGGTTTGTATTTCTTGTCTTAGACTCTACCTTCATGTTTATTGAAACTAGTCCATCTCCAGGAATGGCAGCTTCACAGAACTAATTTGCAGAAAATTCCTCAGTTCATTGGAAGATTTCACAATCTTGTTGTTCTGGATCTATCCCGGAACTCAATTGAAAGTGTACCTAAAGAAATTGGTGAGCTGTACTTTCTTTTATTTTAAACTGCTTTTCTAAGAAAATTAATCTTACACAAACATGCCATTTCTGTGCACTCTGCCTGTCTAACAGTCCTATCGGGTAGTTAGAAAACAGTCAATTTAAATCTGACAGTGAGAGAGAGATCTTAAAACCATGGATTCCCTATAAATTAAAAAAAAATGGCTGGACGGAGGAGACTTATCTTTATGAAAGCTCCCCATGAGAAAACAGCTTGTCAGCACGGCAGATACTAGACATCAGAACGCAGCTAGAAAAGTGATACTGAAAAACAGGCTTCATGTCCTGAGTCCATAGCATGAGTAGCCTATGTTCATAAGGTATTTTTTGAGTTTTGGGGGGGGGGTTTGTGGCACTTAACTAGAGTGCAGTTCTGTACTAAAAAGCCCTGAAGTCCAACTATTTGGATTTCAGTGAATCTTTCTTTTTTTTTTTTTAGTGAGAACACAGAGCACTGGTATAACAGAATAAGGATAACACAAATCAATATTGTATTTCAAATAGAACGAACGTGAACACTTACCATTTCTCATTTTGCTCTCCACAGGCCAGCTGACTGGCCTCCAAGAGCTGCTTCTCAGTTACAATAGAATAAAGTCTGTTCCTAAGGAAATAAGTAACTGCGTCAGCCTGGAAAGATTGGAACTGGCTGTCAACAGGAGTATCAGCGATCTTCCGCCTCAGGTTTTGACAGACTGTTTTGTTTTGTTTAGTTTTGTTTCATACATATTTTGAATTTATCCAAACCCAATTATCATAAAACGTTACACTCCATGTTTTCAGATTTGCTTTGATATTCTGATTTCACAACTATTCCACAGAAACACATATGTGAACAATATTTATATGACTAGCCAAGCTGAAGCCACATGAGAAGGGCATACATATACTTGGGTTGCTGAAGGAGCCAATTGTTATTTTGTCCAGATAAATGACTTGGTAATGCACATAGGACAGTGATGCACCTGATGTTAATTTTAGGCTGAAGGTCTTCACTGATTTACTCCCCTGAGGATCTGATGCCTTAGCACAGAGAAGTTCCCTCTTATGGTTGAGAATACAAATCCATATCGTAATGCCAGGACACAACTGTGTGCATCTTTACCAGAGCTGCTAGCTCTGAAAAGGGTTTGTGTGATTTATACAACTGCCTGTGCACAAAGAGTTGAATGAATATTGTTCTAAGATGTTGAAAAAATTAAGACAGAATAAAAACTGCTCACCTACTATTGAGCTTTAATTTGGGCTGACCTAAATGTGCAAGAGACCTGCATGTCTAACTATTAGTCTCTTAGATAGAGATGACAGCATGTAACCCTATTTACTTGTTTTCATTTATTAAAAAAAAAAAAAACCAAACAGCAGTGGCAACAATTGACAGCAATCGGTGCCTTGCAAAACTGAGCAAGTCCAAACAGTATTACCTAACAACAAATCTTCAAATGAAAATATACACTAGTAATCAGAATCTGGGATTTACAAAATCTGCATGGGTGCAGGTTACATGGTGTAATGTGGAGTGATAGCTTTTAAATTCACAGCTCATAGCAAATACAGAGTTCTGTCCTATTGAGACTATGGTGACGTGAACACCGTGAAGCTTTGGTTATATGTACTTGAGGGCATTCAGTGTTTAGACAGTTGGACCAGATCTGCAGTAAAACATCTTTGCATCACTTGATTGTAAAAGCACCTGAAGGCATGGTTCACTGGAGGATTTGGGTGTTGCAATACTGAATGATGCAGTTTCATTTTTAGAATGTCTTGCCGTAGCAGTAGACCTCACAACATGGGAAGTGCCTGGGTTCACTCTCAAATACAGTCCATGCAATTTGATCCATAAAAACTGAAATACTTTACTAATGAAAAAAGGCATATTGCATGGAGAAACACCACTGAGTACGAAATACTAAGGACAGTGGTGTCTTTAAAATTCCTTTTCTTCTCAAAGCTTGGGCTATATCTGTGTTGTAGTGATGGCATTCGGCTTCTCAGCAGTTAGGACGCTCGCTACCAGGTGGGAGATAAAATTCTGCCTGGCCAGTTTCAAGCCTACCTACCTTCCAGGTGAGAACTGGAATTGCTGGGTAAGAGCAGCTCAGGTAACTCAGAAACCATTCTGCCTCTGCTAACTCCAAAATGTGTTGTCATGTTTTTAAATTGTTTGTTTTTCAGTCAATATTATTACAGCACTGCTGTAATGGAACATCTATACAAACATGCATTAAAGCTCCCTTTCTTTTCAGCTCAGTGATTTAAAGAAGCTTTCACACATAGATTTGTGCATGAATCAGTTCACTACCATCCCTTCCGCTCTCCTCAACATGCCAAATCTAGAATGGTTAGATATGGGGGGAAATAAACTCCGGGAGCTTCCTGATGCAATTGACAGGTAAACAAATCTCTAAACTCACATCTTAGTCTCAATTCCATTGCATTGAAAGTCTAATTATTAAATCCTACTTCAAAAGATTATTTTTACGTTAAGCTCACTGCAAACTTAAGATTTATCAGCCCTAATGTGAAATTTTGGATGAGCTGGAATAATCCATTCAATAAACAATAAATTCAGTATCAACTATCAAGTTAAGTATTTCTTGCCAATGACATTTTTGACGAGAGGTTAGGTGATTATCTTGGATGTGGGGTTTTCCTTGAGAATTGTTGTATTTTTTATGCGAGTCCTTTATGTGGCTGTGGAAATGAATCAATTACTTTATATTAATGATTGATAAGATTAATTTTCTAAACCTCAAGTGATTGCACAAATACTTATTTTACAGAATGGAAAATCTCCACACGTTATGGCTCCAAAGGAATGAGATCAACTCTTTGCCAGAAACCATTGCTAATATGAAAAACCTTAGTACTCTTGTTCTTAGCAACAACAAACTTAAGGATATTCCAGCTTGCATGAAGGACATGAGAAATCTGAGGTAAGAAAAAGCAGCAGAAATAGAAATAAAAATGCTAAACAGTAAGTTTTGAAGTCTCCCTTGAGTTGTATGTCATAGAGTGATGCTAAGGAAGAGGAAAAGCCATGTCCACAGTTGTAGAGATGGACACAGTGCCATATAAATCCGCTTAATTACACAGACTCCTAACAGTTGAAGATCTGAAGAAAGCTTTGTGTAGCACAACTCTATTAAAGAAGAAAGTTATGATAGTTGAAGTCCCAAATGTAAAAGGAGACTGTAATAGGCTTTCTCATTTCTGAAAGGTCCAAATACCTGCTTCTAACTGGCCTTTTACATTGCTCTCTAAAGCCAAGAGCTAGGAGGAAAAATTACGTAACAAGCATAAAAATGACAAAAAGCAGAACTTTGGCACTGACAAGTCAAGCATTCAGAATTAAACAAAAAGGAGTAGGTATAAGGATATGGATGAAACGTCCTTGATTTGACAAATGAGAGAATGAGTGTAAATTTTTAACTGGTAGAATTGGAAATATTATTTTGTATACTGCGACAGAAACTTTCCTGTTGTTTGCATTTTCATTTGAGTTACTGGATGCTGGCCTTTTTTATAGAGAGAATGCTAGCCTAAATAAATCATGTCTAAGCCAGTAAGCCAATTCCTGTTTTCAGGTGTTTTGCAAGAAGCAGCACCCCTTTAAACAAATATATACAAGCATAGGCCCAGGGATGGGCCAAGAACAGAGGGAGACAGGGCTGGCCAGGCCTTGCAAAGCTGGGACGGTGCTGGCATTTGCGTGCTTGTTCTCATCCAGTCATCCGGTTGTGCAAACTCAGGAAGGCTGACAAGGGGGTGAAAAAATCTGAAGACAAAATAACGATGCAGTGTTTTCTCACACCACAATCAGCTACTGTTATTATAAGGTGTCATCTTAGCTGACTTAATGCTACTTACACAGTGGTGGGTTTATGTTGCGGTTTAACCCGGCGGGCAGCTGAACACCACCCAGCTGCTCGCTCACTGCCCCCCCGGCTCAGTGGGATGGGAGAGAAAAAAAAAGGTAAAACCTGTGGGTTGAGGTAAAGACACCAGCTGCTCGCTCACTGCCCCCCCGGCTCAGTGGGATGGGAGAGAGAAAAAAAAGGTAAAACCTGTGGGTTGAGGTAAAGACAGTTTAATAAAACAGCAGAGGAAAAGAATAATAATAGTAATGGTAAGAGAATATAAAGAATATACAGAGCAAGCGATACAACTGCTCACCACCTGCTGACTGATGCCCAGCCTCTCCCTGAGCAGTGGTCCCTGCATCCCAGCCAACTCCCCCAGTTTCCATACTGGGCATGAGGCCCCATGGGCTGGAATAGCCCCGTGGGCAGTTGGGGTCGGCTGTCCTGGCCGTGCCCCCTCCCAGCCCCTTGTGCCCCTGGCAGAGCAGGGGAAGCTGAAAAGTCCTTGCCTGGTGTAAGCCCTGCTCAGCACCAACTGAGCCATCCGGGTGTTACCAACGTTCTTCCCATCCGAAACCCAAACCACAGCTGCTAGGAAGAAAATTAACTCTATCCAAGCCAAAACCAGGACAGTTTAGTATAAGAAAAAGACTTAATTTGCTCAAAATACTGTGTGAGGAGTCTTAATTCAGTTCAAAAGATTTGTTTTCTCTCTGGAGAAAACCTATTGCAAGAGTAACCTTTTCTGGTGAACTGTCAGATTTGTCAACTTCAGAGACAACCCACTGGAGTTAGAGGTAATGCTCCCTCCATGTGAGAATACAGAAGAAGAGGAGCAACAGGAAATGTTTGGCATTGAATTCATGCACATGTACATCCAGGAGTCACTCAAGAAAAAAGGTATGGATTTTTTATTAACTCTAATCCCTCTGGCATACAGTGAGGAAGGGAAGGATAAACTGGATAAAAGAAAGCTAGGATATGTATACAAATGAAACATGAATTAATCTTCTTAATAAATGATTAATGTTTTCCAAAAGTCTGTAAATGGATTTTTACTGAGGGCAGGGGCGCTTTTATCAGGAGTCGGCACAGCAGGTCTTCACATGAACTGCATATATTCTAGTAGGAACATACTGGAACTATAGAACATTAGAATAAATGTGCCCGAGTTACCCACAGCCTGGATAACTGGAAGCTGATGACTGTCTCTTGTATTGGCAATTTAATCAGACTTTACACAGTGTGGGTCTTCCAGCACTGCTTGTCTCATGAAGCTCAGCTTTCTCTGGTTTTGGGTGTTGTCCAGATGGATGTAAGGGAGAGATGCCTATGTTCCCCACATACAACATTTTTAGCAATGAGTTATCAACACCTGATAAACAGATGTTTCTCACAGCTTGCTTTCCCTGATAGATAATCCAGTCACCTAAACAAAACACCCCCCCATTTCATCCCATTTCTAAATCACTATGACAGAAGAATGCTGTTAGTAGTCTCAAAGGTAACAGCTTAAACGTTGCAGTAAGAGACCAAAATAAGCACTTTTGAACAGATGCACAAGTGGCAGCTGTTACTTGCAGAGAGAACTTCGTTCATTCCAGATATAAATGTTCTCTCTGATCTTCATTCTATATATTGTGAAGGCTTAAAAAATGAATGACTGAAATGCTCTTGATGTAGAGCACTAAGCCAGCTTTCTTTTTATCAATATTTCATGAATGAATAATAAAACTATCAAAAATATATCAAGATGACAGTTTACAAGTAAGTTTTATTCCTTAACAGATTCCCCTAGCAGCATGGGCTGATGAAAGTACCTAGGCCTACTTAAATAATTCAAGAGGAAATAAAAAGCTATCCTCCTCTTCAAAGTGAAAATAACGTATGTTAATTTCTTTTATTTTAACCCATTGTCTTTCAGATCTGGAAAGTTGTACTTCTGGTTCTTCTCCTACCATAGAAGCTAACGAATAAAGAATGTAACTGTCAATGGAAGAAAAGATCAAGTATACTTCTTCCTAACAAAGAGGCGTACGATTGGGTTTCAAATATTCCTAGGGATTTTATTTTTCCACCGATGAGAATTGGTTTGCATATTTGTAATTCCCAATGAAACTGGGAAATAAGACCTTTTCCTGGGTACAGGAAAGGATAAAACATTTTTTTGTAAGCCATGAATTAGCTTTTTTAAAAAATCCAGATAATTTTATAGGTTTTCTTCCTACCGATTCCAAATCTATCTCCTGTCATGGAGTTGGCTCTGGTATCAAAGAAGGACTTGGGACAGCTGTCAACAGGACATTCTCCAAGGACACAGCAGAGTCTGTATAATACTGTAGCGCAGCCTTGTATCCTCGTTGTTTTAAGTATTCAATCCGTCCGTGATCAATCAGCAGTTTACAGAGGCAACCTATCTCCTTCCGTTCTTCAACAGTAAGTATCCTAGTTTCATAAACAGGAGGAAAAGAACAAACAACATGCGTCAGAAGAATAGTGTTGTTAATTAACATTAGCAGTTAAGCTTCGAAAGACTACTGAAACCACTGTAAGTTCATTTCAGTTCAGGCAAGCATGACTGTTTAAGTATCTTGAAGCATATGTCCATGTATTTTTAAAGTAGAATATTTTTATAAATTTAGTAATTACAACGGTTGATAAATGAGTAATTTTGAGGACCCAAAGCAGTCATAATTTTGCTTTTCTGCAGGAGTCCATTTGCTATAAAAAAAAAATCACATACCCTTGTAAAGTATCAGAACCACTCTCTGTCTTGCTGAGTGTTTGCTCATGTTCTTCTATGTCGTTAGTTTGATCTTCGTTTTCTTCACTTGTAGAGGCTTTGGTGGCGGTTTCTCGCATGCCACAAGTGGCCCAGCTACTCATTCTCTGAAAATAATGAAATTCTACTGGCCCAAGTCCTACTGATTTGAAGAACTCTCTGCCTACATAATGTGTCCAGTCACACTTGTGATGGCAGCACAGTGCAATAACAATTCCAGCGACAGGCTTACACTCTTCTCTGTTGCTTTCATTATCAGCAGAATTGTTAGAAGCCACCTCCGTCTTATCATTCCTAGAGCGTTTTGGTGCAGGCTCTTCGTTTTCTCCATCACAGCAAGTTGTATAACTTTCAACCAAGCATCTCAAAGCAAGATCTGGGAAAACACAGATACAACCCCCCCCCAGCCCCCCCCAAAAAAACCCTGTGATGAACAGTATGCCATTATTTATACAGGCTGTATTACGATTGGGAATGTACTTCCCATGAAGAATAATAAAACAGTACATCGCAAACTAAGCCAAAAAGCAATTTTAAGGATAACTAAAAATTACAGGCATGCTTTGAAAATGTGAAAACCCTAAATGCTAAGTGAATGTTATGAGGTCTCTGGAGCTGCTAAGGGCTTATCCTCTTGAATATTTGTTCTATACAAGTGAATTTGAAATACTTTGGTTAACGAATGGGCACATTGTAGGAGGATCTCCTCCCTGTAAAATATGAAAGTATTTGCTCTAAAAGTTTGATATCTAAGACACAATCTATTTAATACGTACAGGTATTTATTAAATGCTTAACCATGTCATCTTTGTAACAGTATCTATATAGCTGTCATATCTGAGATGTCTTTCTCCACTGAGCAGACATGCAAGATTAGAAAAAGCGCATTAATTGAAAATTATCAGGACAGAAACGCATTCTTCTCATTTGTTTGCTTGGGATACACATTCAGACAGCCAATACAAATTTAGAAAGAAGAATACTTCAGAGCAGAGGTGACTCTGTTAAAAAAACCCAACCTTTCAACAGTTTACACATACGTGACCCATGCCGCCATTCTTTGATCTACTCTGTAGAAAACAACAATGGTTTTACTTCTGCCTAAAGTAGCCTTGCATCTATTACCCATTTACTACACCACTGAAGTCAGTAAATATTTAGCATACAATTGCTACATTCACCAACAAAGGGTTAGAGGGCAAGAAAAGCTTAAAAGGACAGTTTGGAAGATCAGTCTATTCAGAGTGCAAGATTTGATATCCTGACTTTCTGTAGTTAATACACAGATAATTCATACCTGTTGCAGCACCACACAAATGCTTCCCAATTCCCACCACTGCTAGTTTTTTCTTCTCCAAAATAGGTACCTTATCTGGAGGGGGAAAAAAGAAAAAGAAAATAAAAACATACACAATCCACAACAACCCCAGAACCTCTATTATTATAGTTGGGGCAATATTCTTCCTTAATAATATAATGTCAGCACACTTTAAAAAAGAAATGTGTTTACAACTAAAAATACTGTGGTCTGTACATACAGTTACAAGCTATTAAAAGGAGTTTCTTTTTCTAAAACAAATTTAAGAGAATCGGATGCTATGGCTGAGAAGCATATTCTTATTTTTCTTAGACAACTTGACCTTGTCCAAAGGCAAAGAATATATTTTAACGCTGTTACAAAGCAATATGATTTTGTTTCTGAGCAGCAGCATTACTGCAGAGCAGTAAAATGACTACCAGAGAACACTGGACTGATTTTCCTTAACAGAGTTATCTACGGCCCAGAAATTAGCTCCAGCTAACCAGTAATATAAATACTTTGCCTTTTATTAAAATGAAGTGCTAGAAATACAGGATTTTGCATCATTGCTAAGATAGTTACATTTATCTATTTAACCATTTCAGCCTTTCTACGAAATGTCAATGTGACACTAATGCATCTCCTGATGACAGGTGTTGCCACAAATTCTATAGTATCGATATGCATAGCATAGCATATCAGTGATACGCACAACAACTTGCTTCATTCCACACACCTAAAACAAACACTGCAAAGGTGTTTAATCCTGCAAGTTCTAAAAAACCAAAGTGTTTTTGTTTTGGTATTTCTTACCTATAATGATGTCCTGTAAGTGTATGAAGAGCAGAAAATTTTAAAACCTCATTTAAAATGTATGTATGTGTGTATGTATATAGTACATCATTAACATGTCCAAGCAACCACAGAGAATAATCTTCAAAACCAAGTACATTTAAGCATGCTATATACAAATTGACTTGAACTCTAGTATTCGAAATCTAAAATGAAGCCTCTATTTCAGAATTACGCAAGCCAAGAAGGAACATACTTAAACATAAGTGTTGAATATCAACTTGAAGTCTTTCAAATACAGAATCTCTCCTTTTATGTTTTCCATCCACCTGTGTAAACAGAACAAGATCATTAAGTAGGGCTGGCCACTAATAATTATAATTTTGCTCCAGGTATTAGTCCTGGACTTTTTTCCTGTCTAGTCAACATCTGCACATTTCCAACATTAGACACCAGGATTTTTTTCTAATAAGTTTGCTATTGGTAATGTATGGAATGTAGGCAATCGCACTTCCAGAACTTTTAACATTTCAAAGGCTTTATGTTATTTTCAAAGATAAAAAGCAAATACTAACAGCTTCAATGACAACAGTTTTAAATACTCTGCTAATGTGCCAATACTCTCTCTTACCTTGAATCTTGTAGTTGCCCTTTCCACGAGCAAAAACTGAACATTTTCAACATTCTGTAAGGCAACGTCAACCCAATGAGACAGCTTTCCTCGCCCAGCTCCAAATTCAACAAAACACCTTCCTGGACCAAGTAAATGTAATTTTTCCATGTTACCTAAAATAGAAGCCTACAAATATCAAAAGATTATTTATGAACCAAGCAAATATTTAGACTGTGTATTGTAATGCCTGATAGAAAAATGATTACTTCACCAAACTACAGAAGACTTTTTTTCAAGTCTTCCCTCCCACAAGGGATTAGGGAAAAGATATTGTGTGTACAGAGGAAAGGGATTATAAATTCCGGCTAGTCAGCATCCCCCTGCCCTTCTTCCACTGCTCACAGAACACCCAGAAGCACTGGGAATGGATTTTTGGGATCAGGTACACATTATACTATTGTTGTTTCCTGATTCTCAAAGTGGCCATCCAAAATATGGGTACTGTGCTGGATTTTCTGTGAAGCATCAGTGCCTGCAGAGCACCCTCTCTCTGCTGCAGCTACACATTTTGTAACGCGTAGGAAATGAAAGTAGAGTATGGGAAGAAAGTACAGAAAACAGACAATCCTTACTTTTAAAATTTTCTTCCCAAAACTTTCTTATTTTGCTGTAGTATGCAATCGATCTCTCTTAAATATATATTAGAAAAGCAGAAGGTAAACTCAGGCTCTCCAATCCTTTTTATGCATCTGTTACACAACCAGGAAATCTAGGACCAGCTCTTACAAAAACAGTAAAAAATCCCCTCTACTTCTTCACAAATACGTTTTACCTTTTGCAGCTCAGATTTATTATGAGTTAATAGAAAGTAAGTAAAAATTCAGACCACCACACAATTTGTAATTTATTTCAGTATCCTAATAAACTTCTGTTACTAACATTTCACAAAGCAGCCTTTGAAGGTTATATATATGCTATTATTTGAAGAGCACAGAGTTATGGAGTGTATCAGATGTCCTCTATGTGAAGTGACTGGCATCATGCACGCACAGTCACTCAAATTTACAGCAGCATAATTCCCCATGTTTAAAAACATCTACAGTTATTAGTAAAGCAGTGACCATACCTGTTGTTTCAAGTGTTTGAAAGCGGATTCCCCATTCTTGGGGTCATTTAAGGCTTCTTGTAAAGCCTGGTGGGACAGTATTTGTTCCTTAAGGCAAAGTTCCAAACCTGCATGCAAACGCAAAACTTTTTAGGTTTTGCAACACACGTGTTAACAACAGTCAGGCATGAGCTCGATTTGTAGCACTAACAAAACAGTCTGTTGGAAGCATAAATCTATCATCACATGTTTGTAACAGAGCTGTATCGTTATGTGTAGTGATATCGGAGTGGGAAACAAAAAACACAAAAGGAAGGGAAATTAGCTCTATAAACAAAAGACCAGTGTTTTATCATCCTCTTAATCTACTTTATTCTTCTGAGTAAAATTTAGCTATTGGAGGATTGCCTACATCTTGGTAATTACTTTGGATGCATTTAGTGCCAAACATCTCACACTCTCACAGATATCTGACAACAAAAATAACAATGAAATATTTAATCAATTCAATTTAAAACATCTTATTTTCAGTATTAAGTAAGCTCACCATTACTTGCTTTTTTCAGCTTGCTAATTAAGTTCTCCAGCTCTTCTTTGGATAGAGAAGAGAGAGGTACCTTTGTAAGGAAAAAAAGCACCACCCATAAATACGAGACCTTTTAATTTTTGCTAGTTCTTTAGTCATATGATAAATTGCAACATGTTATGTAGGGACTGAGTTTTAGAACACATAAATGTACTCACTTGTTTTTCTGGTATTTCTGCTACATCTTTTAAACCTGCATTAATATCTTGAACAAAGTAGACCTTTAAAAATCAAGAGAAAAGAAGTCCGATTCTATTAGTTATCAGGAAGCAAAAAGCTACATTCTTCAGTATTATCATAGGTATATAGCAATAAGAATCCACCACAAAAGAAGATATTCCAAGTCATTTTTTTTCCTATAGTCTGATCCTGAATCCCCAGCAGAAATGACCGTTCTGACCTATTTTGACAAGACTGAACGTGTTCATAAGGGTTGAGCTTGTCGATGCTTACCAGACTGATTCCAGAGACCATTTCAAGGTTTCCCAGGTAACACTACAGATGCAATACTGACAAGGCAGAAAGGCAGACAATAAAGCAGCCACCTTCCTTTTTCTTGAAGCAGCGGATGAGACATACGTCCTAGTCCCTCCCTCAGCACCGGGAGGGTGCAAAGCCGAGCTTTGCTGACTTGAGTGAAGCAGGCAGTTGGCGAGGGCAGCAGACTGCCAGGGGTAGGGAAATGCCTAGAGCCTCCCCACTAATTAAGCTTTCCGAGGACGATCTCTCACCAAGCCTCCAAAATGAATGGCATTGTGAGAGAGCGTTCGTAGAGAACGTTTTTGAGAAAAACGAACTCAGAGTTTTCATTTGTAACGAAGAGAAGTGAAAAGTTGTACTGAACTACAGTGAGACGGGACGCAGAAGATGGGGAGAGTGGAATGTGAATTGCATTTCAGCAAGTATTATATGAATTATATGAGTAAGTATTCAGCTTCCATGCTGTCCTCCCCGAGACTGCTGTCCTCCAGCTCACAGCTGCTGTCAGCACAATGAATTCTCCGCGGAGCTGTAATGTTTAGGGTCCTAAATCTGAGAGGAAGTAGTGCTGAATTTACACTGCACTTACTGGCTTTGGCTTCTCTCTTGAATTACATTTTTTTAAATGTTTTTGTAGTTGGTCTTCATAGACAGTGCTAAAATCCAAATGGAAAGAAAAGTAAGTAACAGCATTTACCATGTGCACTCTGCCAAAGAATAGGATCTACATATACTTACTGGTTTGGATCAAGAGGACACGGAATTCTTTTTCTGTCGTTTTCTTCCTAGTTGTAAAAGAAAAGTTTTAGATAACACGTCAGCATGCATTCGGCGTTCTTGTAGAAAAGCTAAGCTGAGGGACATCGAGTTTCAGAAAACATCTATTTTGAGGTAGGTGGGTTTAACCGGAACGGAGAAACGGAGGTGAGAATTTAATACTTAAACAGATCCTAAAAGAATAAACCTGCAATGTAATGGCGCTGTCAGTGCTGGGCCCAGCTGGTGGCCTGAGCACGACCGGGGCTCAAAGGGAGGCGCAGACACCGGCTCAGGCGGAGCTGCCAGCCCAAGCCCCCGGGATGCGGCCGGGGCTTCCCTCCCTCCCGCCGGCCCCGGCCCCTCCCCGGGCACCTGGGGCTCCGGGACGCCAGG